GGCCCTGAGGTCCCCTATGCATCAGATCCACAGTCCAGAGCCCCCCAGCCAGCCAGGCTGTCACTGAGGCCGCCTATGCATTACATACATGGTCCAGACAGACCCCCCACCTCTCCAGCCAGCCAGGCTGGCCCTGAGGCCCAGAGCTCCGGGCTCCCTCTGCATACACTCAAGGTGAGGCTGGCACCACCCCTTCCTGCTCTGTCCACACTTTGCAGAAAGTTCTGAGATTCCAAGTGCAGGTGTAGCAGTTACATGTTTTCAAAAACCCCTTAGTTATTTCTTTGTCCCATCTTAGTGTCCTCATGCTGCTGTGGTACAGATACCACACTGAGGGGCTTTGAAGAACATAATCCATCTTTGGATCACTCAGGTGGCTAGAAGTCTGGTAGGACACCAGCTCTCGGGAGGTGCTGGGGGTTCTCATCTCAGCCTCTGTAGACCCTGTGGTCCACAGTTCCTCAAGATCTTCCTGGGGCACCTCTTCTCCTTCCGTTCTTCTCATCTCTGTGTCTCTGTCCATCCTGACATTTGAGCTGTCATGAGGCTTAGAACCCAGGACCTCGTGGACATAAGGAAGAAAGCCCTGTTTCCAAGTGGGATCACACACAACTGTCACAACATAGAGATTAGTGGTTCTTTTTAACTTGGTCATGACTTGCATGAAAGTTGGCAAAGCAGATTGGTTTTCTGTTCAACAGTTAAAGCACATTTTAGTCTCACGATGATGTTAATCCTTGTATTGTAACAGCACTTTCCCCATTTCCTCCCTGGATTTCCCATTTCCACTCTTCTTTCTTGTTCCTTCCAGCCTCCTCAGCTTCCTCCCTGTTCACATGCTCCGTTTTGATCAACCAGATCTGAGGAGCATGCTCTTCTCTGGTGTTATTGATCACCTTATAAGCTGTTGTTTGACAGGGAGTTGGATTGTGGGTCAGTTTCCATTCCAGGCATGAAGGCTGACTGAAGGGCCTTGGGAGATTCCACTAGTCTATCAAATCAAGAAGTCTGATCTTTTCAACTTTTCTTTTTTGTTTATGATTTTCAATTTTGTTCCACATTTTATCCCAGTCTCTCAGGCTGTGTGTATTATCTACACACAGGGGCAGGGGCCATGGAGGGAGACACAGATCCACCTGGAACAGCCCCCAAGCCCAGCACTGCCCTCTCTTCCCAGGTCCTCGGCATCCATCTGAACAAGTGGAGACTAGACCGGAAGCTGGGCATCTACGTGCTGGTCCTCTATGCCATCTTCCTGTGCTTCTCCATCATGATCGAGTTCAACGTCTTCACCTTCGTCAACCTGCCTATGTGTCGGGAAGACGACTAAGGCTGAGCCGCCGCCCCAGGGTGGTCTCCAGACGCTGGCGGCCTCTTCGCTGTCCCTCCCACCAGCCTTCCCTGCTGTGCTTCCGGCTGCTGGAAGGATGAGCTACCACGGTCTGTGTCTGCTCGTGGGCAGGACCGCTGGTGTCCCCCACCTCCCTGGAATCCCACCCCTAGAGGCGAGATTCGGGGCGCTGACTTGCGTGGCTTCAGAGCCTGAGCTGCCAGCTAGCCGTCTCCTCTCCTACTAGAGTCCAAGGCCCCCTTGTTGCACCTCGGAAGCGGGCAGTTGGTGAGCTTGAGGTCTCCGGGGGAAAGTGCAAAGGAGGAATATTGTTCTCAAGAACCGCCCCGGCCCAGGCTCGGTCCTGATGGATCCCGTATGTTTACCAAGAGCCCCTGCTAAAAGCCCGCCTGGTTTTGGGGGTGCAGGGCCTCCACACGTTTCAGGTTCAGGAAGGTGGTGGGAAAACATTCCATCCCTTTTTCTCGAAGAGTTGCAAGGATGGGTCCTGCTTTTGGGAGCAGAAGAGAGAAGGCAAGTGAAGAATTTTTTTTAAAACACTTTTATTGATGCATTCAGAGAATGAGCAATGAGATATTCCAAATAAAATATCATATCGATCATCTTACTTGAAAACAATAGCATTCTGTCCCACAGGACCACAAAGAGAACCAAATCTGTCCATAACAATGCTTGTAGAAAAGGAATCTCTGTGTAGCTTCTGGCACTTGGCACTAAGAGAAACACCTGGCTTGGGGTCTCATATAAATGTGAAAGACGGACTTGTAAAAAGGAGTGTAGTTTACAACTATACATTCCAGACTTTTCTGTCTTCGGAGCGCTGTCAGCTTGGATTTGTCGTTTCTTTCTTAATGCTCTTCTCTCAAAGACCATCGTGCTGAAAGACCCCATTGTTTACTTTCCCAGCCCGCCCCCTGGCCACTGGACCATGCATGTAAGGAAATGCTCAATAGCAAAATGAGAGATTTCCTGAAAAGCCATCACTCACTCTCTGGTTTAGCTGATGGCAAGCATGCAAACTGCAACTTAGAATTTTTTTCCAGCTTTGTCACTTAAACTTTTGTCATTTGCTACCCATGGGAGACCGAGGACAGGAGGCCGATTCAAAGAGTAGATAGAGAAAACCTTAAAACCATTGTCACCTGCTTCGGAGCTCAAAAAATATCTCTCTCTATATATATATGTATATGTATTCAAGAGATTTATGAACGGAGACTATCATCTGTGGTTTCCGAAAAGAAAGCACAATTAATTTTCTAGAGAGCTTTGTTTTTATTTTTTTAATGTTTCTATGGCACACAAATCAATCTGATGGGATGCACTTTGACTTTTGGGATATTTTGCACAGAGGAATGTATGGGAAGCTCCCCCCACAGTGTGAGGAAGGAGGTGTTGATGTGAGTGAAAATCCAAGAGCTCGTCCCTCTTGGGGTGCAGGACTGGGTCATGATGTCCGTGACCCTGCTCCTGAAGGCCTCCTGAGTTTCTGAAGGAGGAGGAGTTGATGGTGTGTCCTTCAAGTTCCTTTAGCATGGGCCTCAGTTGGGGAGCCCTATTATGGGCTTCCACTCTGGTTCTATGTCAGTATTAGTAGCTGTACCATGTTACGCTTCTCTTTTGTTTCTCTCCCTACATACTGAGGGAGCTCTGGTGGCCTAGTGAGTAAGGAGTTGCACTGCCAACCCAAAGATAGGTGGTTCAAATCTACCAGCATCCCTGTGGTATAAACATGTGCAAGCTCTGTGATTTACAGTCTCTGAAAACCTGCTGGAGGGTCAGCTATGAGTTGTTTCCAAGTCAGCAGATAATGAGTTCATTGGAATTCATGGTGGGGACAACAAATTATTTTAAAACATGAGCTAAGTGGGATGCCCATAGACTCATCAGTATAACGTTTAAATGCAAGAGGTTTCAGTCCTTGGACCACCCTGTGCCCTAATCGTGTCGCTAGCCTGGTCCTCTCTTCCTCTCTGCCCCGTCTTCTAGGCAAACCCAGGTTTCAGGATCCTTCTGTTCCAATTTTCATTCTCAAAACTGACCAGTGAGGGAAATAAGAGTTATTCTATCCATTTAACAGAAAATTCTGCCCTTGAGTGGCCAAGTGATCCGGCGTCAGTGGCCAGTAAGTAGCCAAATACAGGCCACGTCCAATCCTCTCCCTCTTAGCTCAGCCCCAGAAGGGGCTGGCCATTCTCAGACAGTTAAAAACATCCAGCCCCATAGGCACTGAGATGATTGTGACCGTAACCAACCAGCCAGAGCAGAATGATCCACGTGGTTCCCGAAGCTGCACACTGCCACCTTGTTTTTGTGAGGAATGGTGGGTGGATTCAAACCACCAACCTTTGGGGCCCTAGCCCAGTGCTCAGCCACTCCACAACCAGGGCCAGGCATTTGTTTTGGCCGTACTACTAGGTTCTAATTTTTCCATCAAAACCTCATTAACTATTTCATTGTCTCGTAGATTCTCAGGTCATTTCCTGATGTTTGTCCCTATCCAGTGTCGCTGCATATTTTCGCCCAGGAAAAAGAAAGAAAACATAGATAGCTGCTAGGCACAGGCCCCGCAGCTCCTCCTGACTCCCCTCCTGGGGTTCCGTCCTCTGCACGTCACAGAGCTTCAGAGAGTACATCCTAATTACCTTCCTCTTCCTCCGCACAATCCATTTGTGGTTATAGAGTTCACTGCCGTTGCAGTTAGAGTAGAACAGACCTTTTTTAATGTGTAGTGTGCGCCTCTCAGCTCATGTTCTCTTGACTTGAATGTGCCAATTTCATCTCCTTAAAGGATCTGTGCGCCTTTTACATAGGACACGTTCTAGACACCTGTTGGTGGAGAAGATTCTCTTATTTTAACTCACTGTTTCTCCACCAGGAGTTTAAAGAGCTGCTTCGTTAATTAGACCTTTGTTTTAAAATAATGCTTCCATCACAACAGAGGATCCTTTCCTTTTCTCTTCATCCCCAGACTAATTAGCATGGAGTAATGACTCCACCACAGTGCTAAGCGATTAAAGAAAGAAATTTAACTCTTCTGATTGGGGGCAGGAAAGACACTGGAAGGACTGTACGCAGAGGATGCCATTTGTTCCTGGCTTGGAACGTGCTCCTACCAGCCCTGGTGGGGGGGGGGGGGCGACGTGTTCTTCCTGGAGGGCCCAGCCCTAGAGAAGGTTCTGGGTCAGTTACAAAGAGAGGCCAATGGTCCTGTGGACCATGGACAGGTGGTGTTGGCCCTGTGGTCTTCTGTCCCCTTCCCCAACCTCTGTAACCCACCCACAAGGTCTCCTGGCCCCCATCTGGCTCCACCTTGACACCTGCATTGCTACCTGTCCTGCAGACTCCCTGCTTTTGTGAGTTTACACCTGTTCTTATGCCTCACCTGTTAGGACTGTTAAAGAGCTCTGATGGTGCAGTTGTTAAAGTATCAGAAGGTCAGAGGTTCAAATCCACCAGCCATGTCAAGAAAAATGATGGGGCAGCTTACTTGATGATGACAGAGCCTTGGAACCTCTGTGCAGCGGTTCTGCTCTGTCCTCAGTGCTGTTGGGGGTCAAAACTAAGTCAACAGCTGAGGGGTTTATGTTGATGATGATCTGTTTCTGTCAGTCCCCTACTTTTAAAGATTCGAGCAGCAGACAAGGCATTCAACCCTCAAACCTAAACCTGTTAACAAGTTGATTCCAATTCCAAGTTCTATTCTGGGGTCTCCAGACTAGAACCTCCCCGTGGATACAAAAGAAAAACAACTCAGATCCAAGTTTTGCTGAGGGCACTCCGCCTCCTCACAGCAGCTGGATGGAGCCAGAGCCGGGATGGAGCCGCCCCCAGGCTTCCCGGGGTTGAGGTCTTTGCAGAGCAGATGCCACTTCTTTCTCCGGAGGAGAATCTGCTGGGCTCAGACCACTGGCTGTTAGTAGCAGAGTCCGTAACCTCCTGCACCACCAGGGCTCCCTGGGCCCTCTCTGAACACTAGGTGTTTGTTGTCTGGTGGATTGAAACTCTCTGTGAACCCGTGTGTTTCAGAGCAGAGCTGCGCTCTACAGGCCTCTCGCTGGCCGTGAGCTTTTGGAAATCGATCCATTCTGCCAAGGAGCGGGAGATGGGGGGTGGGGGTCTCTGGAATACCTCTAAACCACCAACCTTCCTGATAGTAGCCAAGCTCTTGACTGTTTGCACCACACAGGGCCAGGTTAAACCAGGGAGGTTGCAAACATACCCAAGGGCGTGCACATGTCCAGGGGAGGAGACTCCCCCATATAGTCCTCACCTCCCACCCCCAACTTCTCTACTGATGACCTGCACACTGGGAAGCAGCACAGGAGCCAGTCACCTTCACAGCCTCATTGCACTGTCCTCTCCCTCCTCCCTGTGCCCTGGGTCGTCCTCGCTCTCCTCCATGCACCCTCCTCTCCTTCCTCCCTGTGCCCTGAGCCCTCCTCTCCCTCCCCAATGCACCCTCCTCTCCCTCCTCTCTGTGCCCTGAGACTTCCTCTCCCTCCTCCCTGTGCCCTGAGCCCTCCTCTCCCTCCCCCATGCACCCTCCTCTCTGTGCCCTGAACCTTCCTCTCCCTCCTCCCTGTGCCCTGGGTCGTCCTCGCTCTCCTCCATGCACCCTCTTCTCCTTCCTCCCTGTGCCCTGAGACTTCCTCTCCCTCCTCCCTGTGCCCTCCTCTCCCTCCTCCCTGCACCCACCTCTCTCTTCTCCCTGCACACTGGGCCCTCATCTCTGCACACCAGGCCCTCCCCTCTTCTCCTTCCTCCCTAAGCCCTCCTTTACCTCCTTCCTGCACTCACTTCTCCCTCCTCCCTGCACCCTGAAACCTCCTCTCCCTCCTCCCTGTGCCCCAGATTCTCCCCTTCCTCCTCCCTGTGCCCCGGGCCCTCCCCTCCCTCCTTCCTGTACCCTGAGCCCTCCCCTCCCTTACACGGCTGGATGGAGGCAGGATGGACATTGGGAGAGAACCATGCTGCTTCTGCGGCCATCCTTCTGCCTGGGTGG